GTAATGCAATAAAATATTATGTGCATAATGTTCAGTTATATGATATTATACATGAAGTTCATTTGTCAATTGGACATGGAGGTAGAAATAGAATGGAACACGAGATTAATAAAAAGTACAAAAATATAACTAGAGATGTAATAATGTTATACTTAAATAATTGCAAATCGTGTAAAAAGAAGGGAAGTACAGCTAAAAAAGGGTTGGTTGTAAAACCAATCATATCTTCTGAAATGAATTCTCGCTGTCAAATTGACTTGATCGGCATGCAAGCACAATCAGATGTCGATTATAAATTCATATTAGTTTATCATTATCATCTAACAAAATATATTATGCAGATTATTTGTATAAATACTTCACAATTTACATTGCCCAATATACCTCGGACATTGTATACAATGCCCGGTCACTGTGCACAATGCCCGGGCATTGTATACATTGCCCGAATTTTCCACTTTGCCCGTAACATATACATTAATGTATTAATGAATTATAAATGACATATATTGATATATAGATATATTATATATTATTAAGTTGTCAAAATAGTGCATCTCCTACTGTACCTGCAGCATTCAAGAAATGTTTTTAATTGCTTTTTTATTTGATTTACTCTGGAAGAATATATATTAAAAATAATCCACTATTAATTATATAATTTGTAGAAAATAATTAATATGTCGTTAAAAGTAATTAAATATTTGTTTAAACATTTTTATCTTAGAACTGTAAATGGTTCAAATGTATTTTATTCAACATTGATAAAAAGTTCAAAAATGAAAAATCAATAACAATTAAATATTTAAGTCAATATTTTTTTAAAAATATTTATTGTACTTGAAATAAATATATGTATGCTGTGTGGGCCACTATTAGGTACTCAAACCATTATTATATAATATACACAATTAAACGTTCAAAATATAAAGATTTACTTAAAGACTTACTTAAATTTATTTATATGGTTTTTAAATTTTTGATTTTTTTTAGTTTCTTTTAAAATCTTTGTTTAATACTTTTAGACTCAATGAAAAATCTTGAAAAATGAATACAAGATCTCACATAAGTTTTGCTAATAACAATTGAAGATATTAAAAATACATGAGAGGCGTTGAAGTTCAACTTTTGACAAAAATATTTTAGCAATAAAAATAATTCCTAGAACAAGGTATTATGGACAGTTTACTTGCTACACTAACTGCCTCGGCAATACCAGTGGCACGTGCCATAAATGGTTTTCTTGGGACGTTTCCCACACGGTCATAGGTTGTAATGTTGTAACTATAGTCTTGTAGATATAAAGAACTATAATAGAAGTAAAGAATCAGTTATATTTGAAAATTGTATTATGTAAGTATGGAAATATATAGTATAAATATCTTGAGAAAATTTCAACTTTTCAAGTATCTACTATCTAAGATTATTCGTTTATTTACAAATAAATAATTAATTTCATAAATAATTTAAATTAACATCCATAAAAAATGTACCTATCTAGGGTGATTAATTTCTGGGTTAGGTATACTAAAAAAAAAAAACTGATTTGTTAAAAAATAGTTTTGCGTAAAAATTACTACCCATTTTTACTTAATTTTTTATTGTTTTACAAGCCACGCATTTGAAACTATTGGGGAACTTATTACTTTGGACCCCCCAAAGTACCAACTGGATCCACTTTCTAGTTTCTTATCGAATGTAAGCTAAAGTAGAAAATCGGAGCATTTTTATTTTTTAGTGCCCCAAAAGGCGATGAGTGATGGCAGACAGAAAAAAAAACACTCATCACTAGTAGGGTTAATACGCTCCGCTCAGAATTAAAAAAAAAACCCGTATTAAATCAGTGAACAAATTAGCAACCGAATGCTAATCACACGGTAGAACGCGTAGGTAATGAAACGGCATTATACAATTCCCACAAAAAACATTCGAAAAACTTATTAAAACGTACCTTACTCGCCGGTTGCAGAGAGGTTCAGGACTTGTTGCCGCCACCGATGACTGATTAGTGGTTACTTGTGTCTGATTGGTTTTTTAATTGAAAAATTAAACGTTAATTGTTCATTACGTCTATGGTACCACCATCGAACTCTAAAATAATAATCTATTATATTATATTATTATATATCTATTAGATCTATCTATAATACTCTCTAAAATATGATAACTGAAATGCTCACCGGCCGTAAGATCAATGTGGGCTTGGTACAAAATATGCCACGACTATTTACTACTTCGATTTATAAATTAATGCTACTGCTTCGACATACATTGCTCCGATTATCAATAACTACGATATTAAAACAAATTATATTACTACTTTGATATTTTTTGTGTATCTATTCTGTGCTATAACCGCGGTTCTGCGTGAAATATTTATGCGTACTATCAATATAAAATAATTCGTGATCGTGAATTGTGATATAATTATATATTATTCTATGATAGGTAGTATGACGTGATAATATTAATTTATTATTATGCAATTAACTAATATTAATTAATAATTTTAGTTTAACAATAATTTAAATTTTATTCTACATTACACGTGTAACGTATAAAAGTATTGTTAATTGTGACTTTTAGTGACGACAACATGATATTCAATAGGTATATTTTGTTAAACAATTTACAATTGCCATCATTAATCAATAATACGTAAGTGTGTTATAAACTTATACATTTTAATTACGTTAGTTCTGTCTCAAACAGAAACAGTGAGAAATTAGAAACCCACTAGAGTCCAAATGCTGTCATTTATAATGTGAAAATAGATGTGTTCCGTAACTTTGATTTTGAACTTAACATCGACTTTAAAGAAAATATAGGTAGTAAATATTTGACCAAAAATGTTTCTATAATGTATAGACTGAGTTATGTTCATATATTTTATGAGACTTATAGCCAGTGGTGTATTTAGGGGGGGGGGGGGGGGGCCATTTATGGCAGGAAGCAAATTTTTGTGGGAGCTCTTTTTTCGAAAATAAATTTACAATGATTTAGGCAACAAAACGTTCTATTAATGTCTTAATATAAAGCTATTCTGTGCAATCAATCTCCACATCAAATAATACATGTTGGTCATTGAATACCTTAAACAATTTTTCTGTGCCTAAACTAAACATTTCTTGTGGGCAATGGTATTAGTGTCATCTAATATACAGTCAGTACAAGAGTGCCATACCTATATCAAAAATACAGTAATTTGTAAGTTACCTTCGGTCACATATAAGTATTACAAAATGTATTTGAAAATGTCTTGTAAGTTTGATGATGCACTTTTTAAATACTTGAATTTACCAGAAATAGTATTTAATTTATTTAATTTATTTACGGACAAACTATTTAATACCTATTCATATTAATATACTTTTCTAATAATAGTAATAATAGTAATTACAGATTACAATAATATTATTATTATTGAATTTCATACACAATATTATTAGATTCTAAGCAGAACAACGAAGGCAATGATTTTACAATAACGTGTTTCACAAATAGGTTTTTAAAACCTATAAAAAAACTGAGGGAGGGGATAAAAAAAAGATGTACCCAGGCATTGATTAAATATATTTAATCAAAATCCTAAATATACCACTGCCACAGATATATAAAATAATATTACTTGATATATCAGTGACCACTGCTTATAGCTATAATACCTCTTATCTACAATATCTCTAGACCAATGGACTATGGTATATCTTTGGCGGAAGATAAAATTTCATGAATACACCTGTATCTTACAACATAAATTGTACATCAAATAATAATTTGAGCTTTTATTATATTGCATTTATGATTTATAACTTTAAATTGTATGCATAAAAATTTAACTCAAAAACATGCGGATGATACCATCAACTGAATCACCACAAACGTCACATGTTTCTGGTTGAGATTCAATACAATTTGAACAATACCAACCATGGCCACAATTTAGCAGGATGTATTGTGCCATATCCGGTACATACTGAGGAACACGCATAAATCCTAGACACCCAGGTACTGTGGGGTCCAACTGTAATGTACTTTTCATCCAAGTACCTAAAGTAAAAAATTGTATAGGTACATATTATATATACTGTAGAGGTATGGATACAAATTATTAAACTTCCTAACTCCTAATTATATTCACCTTCTCCTATTCTAGGACACATTATACGAATTGGTTGTGTTGTTGTTAGCTGGTTCTGACAAATGGGGCAACCTCTTGTCCAATTACCTTCACAAGTGTCACAACACCATCCATGTCCACACGGCAGAAAAATATTGATTCCTTCAATATCCCCATTATTCTGGAGACATATTTGGCACCTATCGGGAACCTCACCTTGAGAAAAAGTAAGCAAATAATTTTAAAACTAATTAATATAATATATTATGACTATCATATTAATAATATTATATTTTTTGTTATATTTCATGATATAAAATAATAATAATATACCATGCTTATAATCATAAATATTTTCAAAACTGAAGTATATTATTATTTGGTGTAAATAGGAACAGGAGTAAAATTTGAGTAATCAAAAAAATATAATGCATTGTGATAGCTAGGCATAATAACTTAATTGGCATTATTATGCATTTTTATGTATTATTACCATTGATCACTGTATATTTGTTTATTTCGTTGTTACCCATCTAGTGCTAGTTCAATTGATATTCCTCCTTTGATTTTAAAGTGTGTCATTATGTTATTTACATTATTTATTTAATTATCACTCTAAACATAGAGCACAGATGATACAAGGTGTATTCAATCTAGATAATAGGCTTATGTTATGAAATTCAAAAGAAATGTTTATTCAATATGAAACTAGCGTTTAGTGTATGACAGTGTAAGATATATAACCTTCTCATGTAGTATTTTTTTTTTTTTTAATTATCTAATTAATGGTTGTCCTATTGATAGGTTGAGTATTGTACTATGTTTAAAAATACTTGTACTGTTCCCCAGTTACATCAAATCTAGAATTTGGAATTCTAATAATTCTAATAAATTATGATGCGTAATGTATATAGAAATGATCTTGATACTGTTCAAAAAAAGTTTTTTTAAAGAACTAGTCTATATTTCTCAATGTCCTATACCTAGAGATTCTTTTTTAATTTGGTACAAGACTCCATAGATAAGGAGTTTATTAGACATAATTTAACAGAATATAGTATTATATTTGTCTTTGATGTCATAAATGGCTTTGCCATCTGCTCAGAAATTTTATTTTTAATTGCTGTCTCAATTGCCCGTAAAAATACTCATAGTAATTTAGACTTAATTTGTATACCTAATTTTAAATCTAATATTATTTCTCGAATTCCAAAGTATTACCTATTATTTACATTAACATGAATTATTATTATAATTTAATTACTAAGTGTTGTATTGTCTTATCTTTTGTTTATTTTTTTTTTCTGTTTTTATGAAGTAACTTTATTATGTGTACCTACATTGTTTAAGGATATTTTATGTGTTATAGAATTGTAATGTTATTTACTTACCATCGAGAAGAAAATCATGAGGTCCTAATAAGACTATTTCAACATCGACCGATTGATCAACTTAAATACAATCAATATCATGATCTTAATTTTAATTTTTTATAAGTTGTAAAGTTTTAATTTGTAAAAGTTATTTATACCTTCATCTCCTGGTACTACAGATTCTTCAACCACGTCTTCAAAAATTTCTTGAACAAAATAGTAAATACAAAACATTATTTCTTATAATGTTATATTTTTAGAAAATATAATTTCATCTAGTGCTGAACAACCCAATGTCTTTTCTAAACAGAATACATACCCCCAAGGACAAACTTAACTTTTATACTTTAAATTATGATTATTGCCCAGTGCATCAAGATCAGCAGGAACCGGATCTGGCCTTTCAACCAATTGACGTGCACGACCTCTAGGCCTTCTAACCCCACAAACATGCACTGGTGGAGCTGGTGGTTGTGGTTGAATGTTGACCCTTTTCGGATTTTGAACATCCAGATCTCTGATGATTTCTGTAGGTAAAACAATCATTGTATAATTTAGTTTGTAGACATAAATGTAATTTGTTGAGTTACCATTAGGTAACTGGTCTATTTATAGATCCAAATAGCCTCTTGCTGAGTAGGCTACTCGTCTCAAGTATGCCATTGTATCGTAACGCCCCGTATGCTGTCCAAAGCATCAGCCAAAATGTGGTTGTTAGTATCTCAGGATGTCACAATAGATCGACAAACCTATAATTATATATAAGTACATCAGAAAAAGATTATCAAAATGTACTAAACAGTATATTAAATTCTTACTCTTTGTCCACTAATTATTTGCCAAGTTTCTCTCCTTACTCTGGCTTTAACAGAACGCAATCGATCTACAAATAATTGATACATAATAATTTAATGTTCACACATATAATATCTGTTATTTAAATGAGATATTTTACCGTAGAAAATCCACACCGGCGGGTGGCGACCAATAGTTGATCTTAGCATATATTGAAGTCTTCTGGCAATTCAGGGACACGCTCTGCTGGTAAATGTGGTAAAGCTATAATCTATTACCAAAAACATGTAAAGAAAATTATTGGCATCATATCAATTTATATATTGATGAAACCTTTTTGTGATTTATTATTACCATTCTCACTATTGTGGCCACAATATGATTTGCAATCGTTAATCTTGACATATTGTGCGTCTGAATGAACTGTACTATGCTCTATCAAAAATAATTCATGTTAAAAAAAAATCTGACTGTCTTAAAATGAAATTATAGTGTTTGAATATGATACATACAGTTAACATATAACAATATTAGTATTAATACTGAATACATTATAACAGACTTTAATTTAGTAGGTGTACCTGGCTGAAATAGAACCAACACCCGACCAGCCGACATTCCGGAATAACCCATTGAACAGTTTCAAAGTCGGCAACAATAGTTATATTTTCCCAATTAAATATTCCCTGAGGAAAATCATTCCTCAGGAATTGGCAAAACCTCATATGCATATTCTCTGTCCTGCGATTTAACAGAGCATACACCACAGGAACGGACTAAAAATACAATAGTAACTAATATTATATTTTAATAAAAAATGTAATATTAATAGTCCAACAGATCACTTACAATATTATCCAAGACAACATAAATTGTCGCCAGTTGTTGGGCATCACCAGGAGCTCGTGGTATGACGCCAAAAGTTCCGTCTACTGCTAGAACTCGTGATTGGTAAATATATGGCGAAAACCTTTGCAAAAACTGCAAATTTAAAAATAACAGTCCCCCAAAAGTAATTTCTCCATTTTCTATGAACTCCAAGTTTCCGTTAAAAAATGAAGCTTTGACATCATTTGTGCAATGTATCAGATGATTTCGCCATGTTGGCGACAGTATGGTGTCTCCCACGGCCCTTAAGTTTTCGGGAGTAGGTGGACTAGAGCGACGACCAATATAGCGAATTGCGCAAAGAGTTTGTTCAGCTCGTACCTCCAAAGCTGCATTTGGGAATCTAAAAAGAGAAATTAATTCAAGTATTTAGCACATTTCCGCAGTTATATTACAAAATATAAGTCTACCTTCTAGCTTCTTCTTCAAAAATGGTTCTAGCTGATGTTCCCTCCACTCAAGCTCGCTGTCTCACCGCTTCATTGAGTGCACAAATTTCAATGTTGTGTCCATAATGATGGCCATGTCCAGAATACATAACATTTGGCGCGTTTATTAGATATAAAGGCATTGATGCTGTCGACCTACAACCTTGTTCATACCGTGAACATCGAAGTTGCCTATATAATATAATATAATATTTATTTATTTAGCAACAAAAGTAAAAGTTATATAAGTTTATTTTATTTTTAGAAACTCTAATTTATTTATTTATTGCAGGTGCCAGGTATATGATATTCTTTTAGTACTTACCGCCAATTTGTTGATTCATTGTTTTGTACATAAGTATACCCAAGTGGATCGGCGTACATCATGCGCCCTCTGAGCCCCAGGATTCTTCTAGACGCTTGAGCCCCTTCCTCATTGTTTTCCATACCTATGATAGGTGACCTCGACCTTGATCTTTCATTACGTTCATCTAAGTTTAATTTATATAGCATAATAATTTATAATACTATTTAATATAAACTACTAAGTACCCAATAATTTGTATTTAGTCATAAAGAATTATTTAGCTTATAATATTATGTTGAAATTTGTTCATTTTTTATTAAAGTGCCCACTAAGATTTTTAAAATTTATTTTAGATTTGTATTTAGTAATTAATTATTGCCAAGTTTGCATAAAATAATGTAGTAACTAGATGTGAATTCAATAAAATGTATCAATCTGTAAATTAACTCAGTATAAGCTCAGATGCTTTTATAACTTTAATAGGTAATAAAAAAAAGAGGGTAAGTGGATGTTGCTCTGCTGTATAGTAAGTTGCCAGTGGTTCACTGTAATGGAATATATCAAATTTGAACTCAATGATATAATAATATCATTCTGAGTGAAGACGGTCAGCCTATAATGTTACTAAGTAGGTATATTTTATGATATTACTGTGCTAAAGTACCTAATTAATTGTAGTATTAGGCATTAGTATAATAGTATCTACTACAGTAGGTTGATTCATTTTTGCCAAAAAAAATTACATTTAAAAATGTCATTGTGTATATAAAATATAATAATATATTCTAAGAGTTTAATATAATATCCATAAATAATATTTTTAAATTGCAACAAAATAACTAAAATCATTATTTTTGGTTTTAATGTTATGTGAATTATGGTTGTTCGTTCACCAATAAATGTTGATTAATATTGTTGGTTTTGACCTTTTTGTTTTACGGTCTAAACTCAAACTAAAAAGAAAAAAAAGACTTTTTTGAAAATCTTGAATACGATTGTAGAATTCGATTACCGCCACAGATATATACAATAGCAATAATAATAGGCAATAGTATTAATTTGTAAAAAAAGTTAATATTATTACCTATATTCAGTTGTATAAAAGTTGTAATCATTTTTTAAAGAATGTATTTGTTTTTTATTTTGTAATATTTTATTAAATAATTAACCTAACCTAGTTATACGTGTTGTTTAATCTCTTTTCTATAGTTCACAAATTTATATGATATACAATATAATATACTAGATTTGTTACACCTTACACACACAGATATATTCATATTATATACAAATATGATAATATTGTATATATCTGTGGTTACACCACTTACTACTTAGACGTACCACGAAATACATACAATTAAGATATTGTACTTAAGTATATTATATTAATTTAATTTGTGACAAGTGACACATACTGTCATCCTCAACAAATATATTTTATAGTCATAAGAAATGATGGCAATAATTAATGTAAACATTGACTACCACGCATATGGCGGTTGACTTCCAATCTAGTTATCCAATCTAATTGTATATATCAGTGGTTACCGCGACATTATAGATAGTTTACAGTTTGTCATCCGTAAATTATGTTTAGGTACGTGTTAGTACAAACAAAACCGAGATCGATAGAACTATAATACCCATAGATAATGATAATACCATAATATTATATTATAATATCTATAAACCTCGGGTACAAACCGTGAGCGACGAACGAAAAAAAAAAAAACATTAACGTACCAACGGTAAAAATATGTCAAAGAGGCTAAACACGCATTATTATCGCTTAATATGTCATTAAAATAAAATCATACCAACACCGATGTATAAACCACGCCGGGCCAAAATATCATAATAATATTATGATTGATTGTCGTGGTCGTAGCACTGCAGCTGCAGCTGATGTATACAACAAAAATGTCGTATAATATAATATTCTACGGTCGTGGTATAAGCAAGAATTTCGTTATCAATCCAACAGAGTAGTTATCAATTTCACAACATCATTACTCGAATTATTTCAAATCATTACTCGTTATACGTATGAACTTTCATACGTCATTACTTGTCAATCATTACTCGCTTGTGATCTGTCCGTAGTCCGTACGAGGTACGACCGCATCTCAGTGTTGGAGTACTTATCTGTTGCTTATCTTACTCTATGGTCTCGATGTCTACGTGACCCATAGACATAATATAGATGGACCGCGCCCGCGCGTTCAGCCCTCATCATGTCAGCAATAATAAACTCGTGTAGAAGGTAAATAATCATGGAAAAATGTTTCTCTCAACAGCTTTCCTCCATGATACGGAAATACGGAATAGTTACCACGATTAAAGATATACCTTTAACCGTGATAGTTACCACGAGAGAGTTGCCGCGTTTTTATCTTTTATCAGTTATCACTTTTCTTTAAACCAAATAATACCTTGGAATAAAAACAGTAAAAATGTCGTATCCGTGCTATTTTACCTTTTCAAGTCTTGTTATTATGGCTGAATTTTTTGATGGCGTGGGGTGAGGAACGCGCAGTCCATCTATATTATGTCTGTGGACGTGACCGGATCCCGGCTTTTCGACTTTTTTCCCTTACATATTTTCAAACGGTGTTACTTTTATAGTTTTATAGTTTGGTATCATATCCTTGGCCGAGCAGCATATNTATACTAGATTTGTTACACCTTACACACACAGATATATTCATATTATATACAAATATGATAATATTGTATATATCTGTGGTTACACCACTTACTACTTAGACGTACCACGAAATACATACAATTAAGATATTGTACTTAAGTATATTATATTAATTTAATTTGTGACAAGTGACACATACTGTCATCCTCAACAAATATATTTTATAGTCATAAGAAATGATGGCAATAATTAATGTAAACATTGACTACCACGCATATGGCGGTTGACTTCCAATCTAGTTATCCAATCTAATTGTATATATCAGTGGTTACCGCGACATTATAGATAGTTTACAGTTTGTCATCCGTAAATTATGTTTAGGTACGTGTTAGTACAAACAAAACCGAGATCGATAGAACTATAATACCCATAGATAATGATAATACCATAATATTATATTATAATATCTATAAACCTCGGGTACAAACCGTGAGCGACGAACGAAAAAAAAAAAAACATTAACGTACCAACGGTAAAAATATGTCAAAGAGGCTAAACACGCATTATTATCGCTTAATATGTCATTAAAATAAAATCATACCAACACCGATGTATAAACCACGCCGGGCCAAAATATCATAATAATATTATGATTGATTGTCGTGGTCGTAGCACTGCAGCTGCAGCTGATGTATACAACAAAAATGTCGTATAATATAATATTCTACGGTCGTGGTATAAGCAAGAATTTCGTTATCAATCCAACAGAGTAGTTATCAATTTCACAACATCATTACTCGAATTATTTCAAATCATTACTCGTTATACGTATGAACTTTCATACGTCATTACTTGTCAATCATTACTCGCTTGTGATCTGTCCGTAGTCCGTACGAGGTACGACCGCATCTCAGTGTTGGAGTACTTATCTGTTGCTTATCTTACTCTATGGTCTCGATGTCTACGTGACCCATAGACATAATATAGATGGACCGCGCCCGCGCGTTCAGCCCTCATCATGTCAGCAATAATAAACTCGTGTAGAAGGTAAATAATCATGGAAAAATGTTTCTCTCAACAGCTTTCCTCCATGATACGGAAATACGGAATAGTTACCACGATTAAAGATATACCTTTAACCGTGATAGTTACCACGAGAGAGTTGCCGCGTTTTTATCTTTTATCAGTTATCACTTTTCTTTAAACCAAATAATACCTTGGAATAAAAACAGTAAAAATGTCGTATCCGTGCTATTTTACCTTTTCAAGTCTTGTTATTATGGCTGAATTTTTTGATGGCGTGGGGTGAGGAACGCGCAGTCCATCTATATTATGTCTGTGGACGTGACCGGATCCCGGCTTTTCGACTTTTTTCCCTTACATATTTTCAAACGGTGTTACTTTTATAGTTTTATAGTTTGGTATCATATCCTTGGCCGAGCAGCATATAATTAATGCTGTACGAATAACTGCTGTTCATTTAGAGGTAAGTTTTTATTTATTTCTTAAGGTCGTCACACACTGCAGCGGTAGCGGTAAAATTCTTTTGTCTTGGCGGTGCCGCCGCGGTGGCGGAAAATTGTGTCCGGACTCATTTTACCGCCACCGCTACCGCTGCAGTGTGTGGGGACCTTTACATCGATTCATTATATAGTGCAGCGGCTGTCAACCGTTATTGGAACTCGTGGACCACTAAATTCACGACTTGAAATTCCGTGTACCATAAATGTATAAAAAAAACATTTAAAAAATAAAAAATTGTTTGCCCATTAAAGCAGGCAATCAGCAGTGATTAGGTAATTAGAAATTCCCAGATTACAATATTACTCACAAACATATGCAAATTATCAAACAAATATTTTTTAAGCGTCAATTAGTGTACCTAATTACTAATTACGGTCATTATTAATAATTAATTACAAATACATACTTTATACTACCTACCTAATAATATTGTGTTTTATAGAACTGCAATATTATTTATAATTCTGTAAAATTTAATTACTGAAATAATTTTTTTTATACATTAGTTGAGGTTATTTTCTGTAACATTTTCATAATATTATATACGATATAAGAATTAAGAACTTAAAATGTTACCTATTGCAGTGTATGGCGAAGTACTGTAGTGTGTCGGTACCTTTGATAACTGATTTTTTTTTTTCTTTGAGTACCTACATTCATTAACTATTGTTTGATAATTATTTTTATTTTTATTATAAAATATTTTAAATATTTCATCTATGTAAACTAAAACTTGTAAACACGCTTCCTATTAATACTTTATTTACATGGTTGTAATACTGAATCAAAAATAGAAATTTGTAATACATTAAATGAATATTTTATTAATGTTGGAAATAATTTAGAAATTGAACATATAAATCATGTGTCTGATGACAATGAAATTATAAATGATACCATATTTTTTAATCCAATAAATAGTGATGAAATAATGTTACACTTAAATAAAATAAAAGACTATAATTCTTTTTATGAAAATAATTTGTCTAATTATATACTTAAAAAAATATCTAAAAACATTTCATTACCATTGTCGATTATTTTCAACAAATCTCTTTCAACAGGTAAATATCCATCAAATTTCAAAAAATGTATTGTAATTCCCTTATTTAAGGCAGGTAACAAACTAGAATGTGGCAAATATAGACCAATATCCATATCTCTAACATTATCAAAAATGTTTGAAAAATGTATAAAAAACAGATTATTTGATTTTTTAAATAAAAAAAGTTTCTTTTCCAAATGTCAATTTGGCTTCAGGCCTGAATTATCTACTATAGATGCTCTTTTTAAGGTAGACAACTTTGTAAGGAATAATATTGATCATAATAATAAAGTAATGGGAATTTTTTTAGATGTACATAAAGCTTTTGATAGTGTGAATCATAAACTACTGATGTTCAAATTAGAAAACGCAGGTATTCATGGTTTACCATATAATTTAATTAAATCCTTCTTAGGAGACAGAACTCAAAGAGTTAAACTAAATGATACACATAGTGATATTCTAGAAGTATCTTGTGGTGTACCACAAGGTACAGTCCTAGCCCCTAGGTCCCTTATTATTTATAATTTTTATAAATGATCTTCTTAAAACCAATACTAATTTAAATACTGAAATTATAAGCTATGCTGATGATACTGCTATTTTATTATCTGAACGAGCAACAGATAGTTTGTATTATGAAGCAAATAGAATCCTAAATAATATTTATACCTGGTTTTGCAAAAATAAATTAAAACTTAATTTGTTGAAATCCAAATACATTTTGTTTAATCCACAAAAGTATAATACTTTGAATACTAACAAATTAATAGTCCATTCACTAAAATGTGTATCAGCTTTTAGCAATACATGTAGTTTGAAATGTGTAATACTTGAAAATGTTAAGGAGCTAAAATACCTTGGCCTTATTCTAGATTATAGATTTAAATGGGATAGACATATCAATTACTTAAACAATATTTTACGTAAGTTCTTTTTCATATTTAAAGAAGTCAAATATATTTTTAATAACTCATATAAAAGAATTATTTATTTATCCTTGGTGCAATCAGTTTTTACTTATGGTATATCAATATGGGGAGGAACTTACAACAATCATCTATCTAGATTATTAACAACGATAAACTGCATTATTAAATATCTTCTAAATGTATCATCTCAAACAAGTACTACATTAATTTATAAAGAACTAAAAGTCAAGGATTTTAGGTATATTATTAAATATAATACACTAATTGTACTTTATAAAAATAAAAATTTAATTATCCCTTTCGATCATGATCATCATACAAGATATAAACATAATATTAATATATGCCTACCTAATTATAGTAAAGTTTTTGGTCAAATGAGTGTTTTATATAACGGTCTAAAACTATGTCAAACCTTAAATATTAACATTAGCCATTTTGATAATTTGAAATCATTCAAAAAGTATGTTAAAAATCTTGATCTGTCTATTATATAATTAATATGTTGTTATAATTATTTTTGTTCTAAATACTCTTATCTTTTACTCTGTTTAAAATATTGTATATCTATACTCTGCTACTTCTTAATGCCAACTATCACTAATTTATTATTTATGTTTTTATTTTAAGTAATATAATATAAGAACCGCTCCCCCAGCACAAGCTTTGCTTTTAGGGGGTGCTGCAAATAATTATTTTACGTACTTATACAATGTGTCACTTGTTGTTTTTGCAAAATATATATTATTATTAAAATATATATTATTATTAAATATTTATAAGTGTAAATCTAGGTATGTACAAAATAGGTTTATTTACATTAATATTGTATATTATATTTTCAATAAAAAAAAAAAAAAAAAAAACATCATACTGAAAATATTATAAGAAATGTAGTTACTTTTTTAAATTTTAAGTATATATTTGTAATTAAATATTAATAATGTTTGTAATGACACAAATTAGAGTTTAAAAAAATATTTGAAGTCTGGGGATTTTTATTCCAATTATTGGCTCGCCGTTATACAAAGTTTCTTTGTATCGTGAAATCACACTGTCCATTTTCTGCACAAATTTCTCAAAATTTTTCATAGCAATACTTCCTCATCTCATCTCGTTGAAATCACTACAGCAATTATTTTAATAATATGGGCGTGTTACATTTTGACAGTTTAACTTTTGTACAACTCATTCTCTGAAAGTTAATAAAATTTAAATGCTGTCATGTCTCATTGGGTTTGCCATATTATTATTCTATTGTTTGTTTCCTCGAAAGACAGTTGAGTTGACATTGTAGGTTTGCTCCCTGATAAGGTACTCCGGTATATGGGGGCAAAACTTTAATTGTTTTATATTTTATAAATCAAACCCAATTTATTTTGAGCTTTATTTTACACTTTTATTAAAAACAAATTAACACACAGTGATCAAGTCTAATGCTATTTTATGACTAATTCTTACATATTTTGTTTATTCAATGGTGACAGATGTGCATACAAATCTACATTTCATATTCATGATAGCTATATAACATATATTATTATAATAACCAGGGGTTCCTACAAATGCCAATAATACCCAAATTTTTCTGCCGACTATTGGACTATACTTTGGTAACTAGTCAATTGTTGTTTATGTGTTTTAGTTCATACATTATTACCATAGGTGGTGGATCATACCTAGGCTTCCAAACCCCAAAGTATTCATGGCTGTTATGATTGAGTGGATCAATACCATTGGACCTGAGTATTTTGATGGGTTGGATTCAAAAACCATTTATCTCACCAAACAAATTTGTTTAAACTATTTTACGTTTAAAAGGTTACAGTTTTGGAACAATACAACTATACAAAAATAGTATTCCCACTTTCAATCCCTCAATTTCAATAGATATAGTGTAGCAGACTGGTAAATATTTACAATAATTAATTCAAATACAGTAGTTTAATAAGTATTTTGTTTTTTTAGTGCCTAAGACTGTATGTGCCATACACCGATAAGCATCTACGCTATTTAATCAGCAATGCAATCCACAGAGAAAGTGGATACAGAGATTTTATATTCAATATCCGTAGCCCTTCAGCATCCGATATGAATCAGGTTTTGAATTACTTCATTGTGATAATGAAAATGATTTAATGCGTAAGTATTTTACATTGAATATTTATTAGTCTTTATTATACTTGGTATTGCTTGAGTAATATGCTTAATACTTGGTTTATTTTAAATTCTAATATGCTATATTGAGGAAGTTATTTGAAATATATATATTGTAATTTATTATCTCTTATTTATGAAAGTGAAATGTTTGCAGTTGATGGTAGTGCTGATTATGCTAAGCTGGCATTGGGTATGCTGATGTTGCTGATGTTTTTTACTAGTAAGAGAAATAGGTAAAAGAAAATTATTGTTATTGTACTATTATTATAATATTTTTTTTTAAATTTCTGTTCTTACAAGATGCTTGAGGTTATACATATAGACAATTTCTAATCTTATCTGACCTACTCATGTTCTATGTGTTAATTATAAATGATTATTACTAATAATTTATTAGTATGAGTGAAATTCAATGATTGTACCACTCTCATATGCATATGCACATGTCAATAACTCGATAACATAATATGAGTAAAATTCGTTATGCAAATTTTACAACTTACTTATTGTTTTGACAAAATTAAAGTTAGTGAATCATGTCTGATTTTGATTCTGAAAAAATATTTAAATTCAACAGAAAAATGTCTGTAGATTGTGCAAAACACATTAATTATGATTTGAAAAAGTTCATATTTTCAAATTTGCAATTACAATTAACAATGATATAACATATCATTTTTACTAAGTGTTCTGTCCCATCCATTAACAATTTTCTGTCAAGTTAAAATTATTTTTTTCAAAATAAAATTCGTTCAATGGAAACAAACTTTAATTTTATCAAAACTTAAGGTTTTTTGACCTCAAATTGACAGGAATATCAAGGCATTTTATATGGACTTTCTGTTAGAACCGTTAATAAAAGATGAATATTAAAGTAAAATACTATTATAGTTTTAGAGGTAGGTACATTTATTTAAAAATGTCTTACCAATGATAAAATTACAGTAATACCTAAATTTAATCTATTGTCTTACAAAAATATAAGTGTAACGAGTTATGAAAGCTTATACCTAATAGATATATAGAAATTAAATTTTTATAATTATTTTATAGTAATATATAAAATAATTTTATATTTTTTATAACGATAAATATTTTGTAAACCCGTTACTACAATATTGTATTTTATCAGTTTTGTAAACATTAACTAAAAAAAATCATATTGTATCCCCACTATATGCAAAATCAGTGACTCACTAATTGTAATCACAGATACCTGAAAAGTATCTATATTCTATACTATTATCATCGTAAGCTGTTAGTTCCGGGAATACGTAATGTGGTCGATATGCGGGCGGTGAGCCGCCCGGTGAAACGAGAACGCGATTATGAATTTTACGAATTACACACACTAGTATTCATTTACTTCTCACACAGTAACACAGCTTAAATATAAATGCTATATGAAATGCCTAAATATTACTCCTTAAAACATATCACACTCCAGCCACCTTCAGACAATATCAGCGCATTGTTTATTTTCTCATTCTGGCCCACGCGCAACATCGAATACTAAGTCAAATAGTTATAAAATATGAAACCAATATATTATATCTCAAAAATATTATTCTTTATCATTTTTGTAATATATGGTCTTACTCTAACCGTTACTCGAAAGTAATAAAAAAACTATTTTAGGTGAAAGTGTTTTATCTATGCTGCGTATGAGTCTCAGAGAGAAAACAAATATTGCGCTGACACACTCTTGGTATATTTGTATATATTGTAATAATATTTGAAAGTACATTATAGTTACATATTGAACATCATCTTTTCAAATAATAAGTTATAAAATATTGATTAAATTATTTTTATTGTAGATTTATTATGCAAAATCTGTATAAAACGGTCAAGTCTGTGAAGATCAAAATGCAAATCATTATATGCAGATAGTGTCCTATTGACTAAGCAACTATGGTGAATGATAAAAAAGAGATGTCTCATCTACAATGTTTCGCCTGCCAAAAATGTGTCTGACAATATTTTGAATTCTAAACCATCAAGTCGCATGACAACTGCTACAACTATTTTTGAGTCCACTGGTTTGAAAGTTGTAGCTTATATTTGTGACCACTGACATGACAGAAAAAAATATATTGAAGAACGATACAAATACACATTATTGACGTAGAAACTTGAAGATTAAATATGACCTAAATAATGAAATTAATTGTGGTACTTGATGTTTGGAAATAATGCATTGATATGACCCACTTTTGATGACCATTCACTTATTAAAACGATAAGAAACAATATGTGTGATTAAAATGTTAACACAATAAATGGTGAATAAAAAGAAGCAAGTTTGGATCATATTGTTGGTTTATATAAAATTGACAGCAATATTCCAGACCAAGATTAACACTGAAACATGTAAGCTCAATGTAAAATGAGAAATGCTACTCAAGTGCTGAGTGAATGAGTATCCTCAATTATGGCATATTCATTAAGTGAGTTTTATTGTTTATTGTAAAAAATAAATTTTTAATATTTTCTGGCACGGTGTTATATACACAAGCCCACCAAAAAAATAACCTTTCTGCGCGGTGGGACAAATAGTATACCACCTATTTACCATCTGATGATGGACAACAGGAGTTAGACAACTCGGGCGATGATGAAACATATTTTCCAAAGCTTTCGGTTCCAACCTGAATTCCAAAAGAAGACGCCAACTACGATAAATTGTACAAGATAAGGCCATTTCTCAATTTAATTTAAACAAATAGTCAGGCAGTATACAATCCAAATAAAATAGTAGCTATAGATGAATCAATGATAAAATTTAAAGGATGTCATTCATCAAAGCAATATATGCCTAAAAAACCCATTAAAAAAGGATATAAAGTATGGGCTTTGGCAGACAAGTACCTTTGGAATTTTGATGTCTGTACAGGAAAGTCTGGTGGTACGGTAGAAAAAAATTTGGGAGCACATGTAGTGAAAAACTTATCTGCACCACTTAAAAATAAAAACTATTTTTTATACCTTGACAACTATTTAACTAGTTACCCGCTTATGTCGTACTTGAAATCAAATGGGATTTATGCTTGTGGAACAGTAAACATGACAAGAAAACATTTGCCACAGCTAAAAGATGACAAGTCCTTAAAACAAGGAGAATATGATTGGAATACCGATCAATTTTCAATATCTATTATTAAATGGAAAGATAAATGATCAATTAATCTTTTATCTAATTTCCATAATCCAACTGACACTGATATTGTGCCTAGAAGAGCTAAAGATGGAACTTTGACAATGATACCTTGCTCGAAAGTTTTATAAGACTATAATGAAAACATGAATTGCGTTGATAAATTAGATTAAAACAAAAAGTCCTGCCAAATTGACTGCAAAAGCCAAAAATGGTGGGACTGTATATTTTTTTTATTTCATCGATATAGCAGTTGTAAATTCACATGTTATATATACACAATCCACTGGAACAACAATAACTATGAAAAACTTCCGACGTGATATTTCAAGGGAGCTACTAAACAAAACAATTGTTTGTAAACGTCAATCTAAAAGCACTAAAAAATCACCAGCAGAAATTAAAAAACACAAGCCTTTTGTACCTGACTCTCTTTGTTTGGAAAAATCAGATCATCAACCAAAAATATCGACAAGAAGAAGATGTGCAAAATGCAGCACAAGAGAAAAAGAAGTTAGAATTGAGTGGATGTGTTCAGTATGTAACGTTCCACTTTGCATTACAAAAACCCAAAACTTATTTGCTGATCATCATAAGTAAAACTGGTAAATAGTTAGAATAAGATAATATAACTAAAATAATTTTGAACAAAACTAAAAATATGTTTTTTTTTCAGTTTGAAGTCAGTGCAAGCCAATAATGAAACATATAAACATATAAGCAAATATAATAGTAGTAGTAGTAGTAGTAGTTTTTTTTAATTAAAAACTGTATACAATTTTAATTTATTTATTTTTATTTACGATAAATCTGATAAAAAGTCTTGGAACTATGATTTGATATAAGTTTTAATGTATTGATACATATTTTTTTAAATTTTAATATGATTTAGTTATATATTTATATATAATATGAAGGTATTTGATTTTTTTATACAAATATATGTAAAAAAGTAATAATAATTTATTTTTTTAAATTAGTTATTTTTAATTTATTTTACTAGGTAAGGTGTTCAATCAATGTGTATAAACCCTTATTCTATATTATTTGATTTTATCATAGTTAATAGTAGGAATGTATAGATACCAATGTTTCAATGTACACAAAGAAAAAAAATGATCGAATCCTTAAATTTCCTGTACGAACAGGCACAGTGTGTGAGTAAATATGAGCTCAGTATGCATGGTGGGATATACGTAATCCCACATATTGTAATTGAAAGGCACGCACGCATGTTAACTGGTGGTGGCCCTGAAACGACTTCATACTTAGACATCACCCCTGAAGTTAACGAAATAGTTCAACCACGCATAGATCCTCAAATTGTTGAGATTCAAAATGTTTATGATGATGATGGAATTGAATTCGCAACTGAAGAACTATCACCATTAAATGATTCAGTTGTTTATTTATCAGAAAGTCATATGATTGATAATTCATGTGAGTAAGTATGTAGTTAACAAAGCTAGGCATTTAAATACATTTTAGCCACTGAGTAAGTTACAGTAAATTTACTAAATTCAGTAACTTAATTAAGTCACAAGTTTGAAAATCATGAAAAGTGGAGGTTTATGAAAAAGGTGGCCGACCCCAAATAGTTGAAAGGAAAGCGAAGGCAAAGAAGAAGACTGCTTACTGGTTTTTTTAATTTTTAACTATAACTACTTCCCAGTTTTGATAATTTACATGCGTTTTTGTTTTAAATTAATGAATCAATTTTCTTGTTAATTTATAATTTATGATTATTTTATATGTCAGTAGGTACAAGCACTGGAACCAAATTTTAGTACGTACAGAATAGTGAATGCTGATCAAAATATAAATAGTGACAACTGTTATAAAGAAATTGATCAAAATCTCCAATCCTCTAGTCCTCGTCCTCATACATCTACTGTTGACAATGATCCTTTACATAATGGTATATTTACAACTTATATTACTATCCTAATTATATTGTAAAGTTGACCAGACATCTTAGATTATAAAGATTGGTCATCAAGCCACCACATCATATATTTCCATTTGAGGACCACTAACCACCTACATTTTTTTAGAAGACACTTATTAATTTTTGTTATTATTGTTTTTTAAATTTGAGAAGTTCTTTATGTTATTATTTGAACATTTAATGAAAACCATCCTTTTCTATTTCTTAATACTTCCCCATTAGGACCACCCGGGTTATATGCACCAACTCCGGGCATTCCAGCAACATCGTAAAATTTCTGTTTCACAACATCCCACTCATTTTCTGTTTGAGGAAATTTAATGTAGTTCCTGGCTTCAGTAGCAATTTGGTGGGAAATTCTTTTAATAATTCTGGACCCAGTACTTTGGTGAATCCCTCTCAGATCACCACAGACAACATATAATGATATATTGATACTACACAAATCTAAAAATCTCTGAACTATATAGCTACAGGGTGCTGGGTGATCCATTTAAGTGTCTACACTCCTTTTTAAGTTTTAACTTTTAAAAAAAAAAAATGTTATTTAATTTAAGGCAATTACAAAACATTTCTGAAAATATGCAGTTTTGAAATGAAATCAAATCACCCATTTATATAAAAAAATAATATTCAACAAAGTAAGAACTTTTCAAAATAATGAGTGGAGACACTTAAATGGTTCACCCGGTAGATAGGTACTTTTTTTTTAAATACAGTTAAATATTAATACAGTTTTTTTAAAGCAAAACTACCTGGAAATTCGACATAGCATAGAAACGAAATGTGTAATAATTGTAGAACAATAGGAATAGGTAATCCACGTTTATTCCTGTAATTAATATTTACTAATTGAACAAATGTTCAAGTACAATTCTTTTTGGAAAACGGTAACTTTTAAAAATTGGTCATCGCTGTATAATTTGAATGGGTCATCGATATTACGAAGATACCTTCTTGGTATATAATTATCATCATCACCTATATCAATTTCAATATACTCCAAATAGTTCACAAAATTTTTATATATCATCCATACTAACGACTAGACACGCTAATTTAAATTTTAAATACTTGGTAAAGACAAATTTAATAATATTGAAAATTGTTAAGTGGTTGGTACTTAATTGCTGTAGCATTGCGATAAGCTAAACACAAATGTATCACATAAGGTTTATGTGGTGGAAATTGACCACATAACTTTATATAATCAAATCCTCCCATAAAAATTACTATGCAACGTGACATTGTTATCAATCACATAAATAACAAATACATAAGTACTATGGGTCACATAAATTGACTGTGCGTACGGGCATTAGACGTTATTGAAGAAGAGGAGGAAGATGTTATTGATGAAACTGAAGATGAAGAAGATAACAATGTCATTTTATATATGTTTTTAATTTTGTAAGTTCTGTAAGATATCTATAATAACTGTGTGCAGTTGATAATTTAATTACTAAAAAATATTTTTTTTATCAGGTCAACTGGCAAATATCCTGTCAAATATATAATCTGAATTACAGATATTATAAAAATGGTGCAAGAAACAATACAACGTGAGTAAGACTGAATATTTATAATATTTAATAAGCTAACAGGTGTTTAAGAACTATAAGTGATTCATTGTTTACTTATTTTATACTATAATATTAATTATTTTATTACTATGTAGTTATTTAGTATGTCAAAAAAATGTTGCTGTATGTTGTCCATCAACATTCAACAGCTTAGGTCAGGACTACAGATGTTATTAATGGTAATGGTGATGTAATGACTTGGCTCCCACAATCATTTATCTCCAAATGTGGATATTCCTTTGGGGCATTTAAGAAGATCTATTGGTTTAGCTAGAAACTAGTACTATCAATTAGGCTACTTCCACATGGCAAATATGTAACAGAAAAGTTGTGTTGTAAGTATTCTGGATAATATTATTTATTTTAAAAATTTTGTAATTATTAGCATAAAATTAAAGTTTTAATTGTACAACCATACCCGTCTTAGAAATCCCGAAGGTTCACAAAACTACACACATTTACAGTCCCGGGTTTGTCTTAACAAAATGCGACATCAACCAAAATAATCCAACCACTATTAATCAGTTAGCAGATATCCTGAATGAACTACATCATATATTTCAACCTTGCAGAGCCCTTCTTCAAGGTTCATAAAATAAACTTATAGAAATTTGTTGCTTTATTTATTAATTTCTAATTGTTATTTTATTTAGATTTTTTCAATATGATTGTCCATTGATGGTAGATAGAGAACAGGTTGGAGTTGTACTTGCTCATACAGATGCCATTGAAAAATATGCCAATCAATTACCATATTAGGAGTATATGGGACTTTAAAGTATTTGTCAAGAAATCCTACCGATTTGAAAAAAGGCTGCCTGCTTGCTTTTCATATAGTATATAGAAATGTGGTAAGTTAGTTTTTAACTTTTAATGTATGTACAATTGATACAATTTTTTTTTACCCAGTCTTTTTTTTTTAATGGTCTATGCCTTAACTACAAGAATGATCCAGTCCACACTCGAGTCCTACTTTAGAATTGTACAGCGGATTTGGCCTATGAACTACAACCAATTAAACACCATAACAGATTATGACGAGAGGGTTGATGGAAGCGGTAATGATTGTTTTTACTCATACAAAGCTTCAGGAATGTTGGTTACATTACTGTCAAACTAACAATAATAAATTTACAATCTAAAATTTTTGAGCAACTGTGTACCCATAAAAAAAATTAATAAAGACTTAAACCAATTTTATAAATTTAATTCAAGTATTGGATCAATTTAAATTATACAGTCTGTTATCCAGTACTTCAAAAGAAGCAGAAACGGTCTATTTCATTTATTTCAGACAAGTGTTGAGGTTGCTACAGTGATACGCATGGGAATATGATGAAGCATTTTTGTGATTATTTGATTTAACTACTTGATCTGTGTATTGTTGCTGCCAGGTCATCGGAAAGTAAAATAATTTATATTACATTTTGTTTTATATATGTTAAACTGTACTCGGTATAACTCACTGTCTTGTTGAATATCCAAATCCTCACGCTTTCCCCCTTTTGGTACAGATTTATCATTACAAATACACAATTACACACTGTATGCCAGCAGTGATAGACAACAATTTAATTGTTACCACATAACAATACATAATGAATAGAGTGACTAATAATCAATTTAATTCATATAACTTTTATAAAATATTTCATAATACCTACCTATATATTATTATATGCTTGTTATATAGATGGGTGTTCATAGACTTAATAGGCAAAATATACAAAACTAAATATGCATTAAAAGCTCAATATGCTAAAACATAAAAAACAAAAATACTACCATTTTCATCAGAAGAATGTAAATTGTGAGCATTACTCACTAAAACTCCATTTGGATATAACAAAAAAATATGATGTTGCATTGTTCCTAGCCCCTATCTTGACAAACTCCATTCTTTCATATTACCATTAATTTATGATAGTATGAATAAAAATAATAGTCAAAGTCAGCAGAGTAGGGTTCAATTAAATCCGTGATTCACAATATGTATGGAATTGAAAAGAATAATACTAATTATAGGATATGAATTTAACATAATATAGGTAATATTAAAAATGAGTTTTTAAGAAGGTGGTAGATTTTCTATTAAAACTCTTGCAACAGGATTTGACGAATTATCGCGAATTAAGTACGATAGGTTATTGGTACCTTTACCTTTAAGGACTTAATTATCATGGTAAATGTCGATTCAATTTTTTCCATTGATTTTA